GGTTCAGCCTCCTGATGAGTCGGTGAAACTCCGACGAAACAGTTTGTCACAGCCCCTCGTTTGTTGTCCTCTTCTCCCTCTCTGCCTACGGTTTACCGGGCAGTTCTATTTGACGATATATAACGCCCAGGTTGCCCTATTTTCATGATTCGCCATTTTGAAACTTTTGGGGGAAGGGCCTGCGGAAATCAAAATTCGGCAGCCCTTGCCCAAAAAAAAATTTTGGGCCGGGGTCGCGGCCGGTTTCTGAACTCGCACGGTGAGTTTAACATTTTTGCCTAAGTTGGTGGCCCTAAGCAATTACAAAAACCCTGCTTTTTTTTTGTTCTTTTTTTTTTGGACCTATTTTTTCCAGTGCGGTGCGCTTCGGTGCACTGTGGGGTGCGGTGCGCAATGCGTGCGCAAATCCGCGCACCAAGGTGAGGCGCAACTATGATTTACGGTTGTACCCCTCCTGGGAGACAGAAAACACAGCACTAAATACATAGTTAGCTCACAAAGACACCAAGCATCATGTAAGGCCTCGCTGCACAATTCACCAACCACGTGAAAATGGAGAATGTACCTTCCCCTACAATGTGGCAAGGTGCACCCGCTATGGGTTTTGTCTTGTTGAACTTTTTCACATTTGGTGAGTGATGCACAGCGAGGCCTAGACAGTCTTGGACACACAAGAAATGCAGCAGAACACTCTCAGGCCATAGTCACGCTAGCCGCTGTTCTAAATGTATCTGACCGCAATTACAGCCTGACCTGGATGCATCTGACTCCAATCACGTCCAGAGCTGAGTCAAAAAAAATTCAGACGCGGAAAATCTCTCAGCAAATGAGACCAACGGACAGCAATACTAAGATTTTTTTTTTTTTTTTTAAACCACCAGTACCTGGCCCAGCTATCGAGTCCGAGCCTCGGCCGACCGGTACGCTGATCCGTGCTGAGGCTCGGACTACCGGGCGTAGACATCCCGAACGTTGACATGAAAGCCATGAAAAAAACAGGAAAAACAAATCAAAAAAACGAACGGGATCATTCCTGCGAATGAATCTTCCCGTTTTGGCGGAGAGAGAGAGAGAGAGAGGCGGCGACCTGCACACCGCCCGTCCCTCTCTCTCTCTCTCTCTTTCTCTCTCTCTCTCTCTCTCTCTCTCTCTCTCTCTCTCTCTCTCTCTCTCTCTCTCTCT